TTCAAAACTACCTACGGACAACTGGTTCGTGCAATGCATCCCAAAGAATGATTTTTCCATAAATTTTGATAAATATTTAATAACATGAGTGAATTGATAGCTAGCAGCTCCAATCAATCAAAAATAAAACTATTTCGCACGGTGTTATGAATTATTTATTTAGGTTTCCAAAGTTCGGTCATCACAAGTAAAATCAACACTAATAATTTCTCAAGTATTGATACTCTTTAATAGCATATTTCCATAAACTTAAACTTAATTAATGGAACTTATAAACTTAAATAGTCGCAAGTAAATAAGAAATAATGAAATAAAATTAAAGTTAGATATTACGGCAGATGGAAAATTAAAATAAATTTTGAATAACGCATTTTAAGTGTTACTATATTTAACTTTTCACTCAGATTATGGTAAATCTAAGATTATGAAACTTGCTCGTTCTTATGGATTATTTACTTATGGTTTCATATGTTATGTTATCACAAGTAAAATCAACATAATTTCATGAAAAATGATGATGGCGTCGCCGAATTTTTAATTTAAGAGGTATATGAAACCACTTGTTTCTTTTATTCATACTTGCGATTTTGAAGCGCGTCTCTATAAGCATAAATCTTAAATCATGAAAACACAACAATAACAAATAAATTTGAATTGAGTCATAGAAAAATTATGATAAAATCTGAATATCACATTTTAAATGATAATACGTAGAGTTAATCTTATCTTTAGCAAATTGAGCTTCTAGCGCAGAATTTGGTAAATCTAATATTATGAATCCACATCGGAATATACGACTATAAATCTATACATAATAATAAATGCGGCTGTGTGTGTGTCTGTCTGTCTGTAATCACAATATATCGCCCCAGAAGCTTCGCCCAGGCACGAAACTCGGCACATAATTGTGTTTTGACATAATGAAGAAGTATTTTTTTTCTTTTTCAAAAATTTGGATTAGTTATTTAGTTATCAGTCATTTTGTAAGTCTATGCTTTTCGTCTGCTTTTTCGTCTTCAAAGAGCCATATTCAAAAAACTATTAAAAAATGCATATACTTTTCCCCACTCTTATAAATGTATGCTAATGCGAACCTTACAATTGAAATATTAATTTTCGACAACTTAAACCAATAATATACGAAGGAATTAATAATTTAATTGTAAAGTTCGCATTAGTTTACATTTATTAAAGTGGAGAAAAGTTTAACTTTTGTATTAAAAATGTGGCAACATATTCGATACGTAAATAGAACGCTTCGCTTTGATATATTTGTCGCTGTTCATAATTGTTATAATAAGTTTTTCTTCTTCTTTCCACGCTCTTTTTTTTTTTTCTTAAGCGAAGACGATAATTTTTATAGCGATATTGTAGTACTTTGTACAACTAAAAATTCTTTTCACAACACTTTAAAAATATTTACTTTATTTTCTTTATATATACAGAGAACAGTCGGCAAAGAATTCGATTAGGTTGAAAAACATTTCGCTAAAAAGGAACGAATTCCAAAAGAAAAAATAAACAACTTAAAGAATAAAAATGCTGATGCCAGCCAATTTTTTGAAAGTTAACTTAGAAATAACAAACCAAACGATGTTAAATAACAAACCAAACGATGTTAACAAAATGACGTAGAAAGCGCAACTAGATCAAAATTATACAAGCACAACTAGATCAAATTATAATACCTGAGTGCTTGACGTAACAGATATAGAAATAGAATTTGATACCATAAAAAATTATATAGAAATAGAAATTGATACCATAAAAAATTTATTCGTTTTCGTGTTCTTTTCATGTATTTAGCATTTTAGTTTTTTTTTTCTTAAGCGTTGTAGCTATATAATTTCAAACATCCTCAAGAGCTATAACACATCTGCAGCAGAACTGGATATGAAGACAAAATTGCTGGACAGGAACACTTTAATTGTCCACTAATCTTCAGATTTCCGGCTATGTTTTAAAAAACTTTATTTGTGAAAACTTTTAGCTTGGCGAACAGCTGGGCGCCTTTGGCGGCTAGTAAGAAATAAAGGTTGCATATTAGATGCCTTAATGTGTAGGATGGTGACATTAGGGTATACATCCGTTTCGGCGGGCGGTAAAAACTTTATAACGATAGTACTAATTGTAATCACCTTGGTATAATTGGTTCTCACTACCCAGCACTTATAACGCCAATATCAAAAGTACTTAATACCACTTTTAACTAAGCAGCTCTTGCGTTAATAATAGTTTGGCTATAAATAACGGCATTTAAAATAAATACTGATATTATCTGGTTTGCCAAAAATGAATATATCAAATTATAAATGAAAGATTGAACTGTAATGTAACTACCACTACGAAAATTAAACATCAATTCACTAGTATATATGACATGCTAATGGTACAATTTGATAGATGAAGGTTGGCATGGTCGGTAGCTCCACCCCCACATTGGTGATCATCCGGACATGGTTTGTACACGTAGAAACGCCCACTTCGCAAAATAACTTGAAGGTAACGCCTACTTTGATGGATAGTCCACATCGAACTGTTGACTTGCTACTTGTGACTGCTATATACAACAACGAACGCTACGACGTGTAGTTAATACACCTCTCACATTCAGCACTCAACAAAGCTCTTCCGGTACTTTCGCAAGTACAGCAAATAGTGTTATCAATTCATCGAATTCTATTCCCACCAAATTCTGGTGGGGAATATTGTGGCGTAATTACCACTACGAAAATTAAACATCAATTCACTGGCATATAAGACATGCTAACTTGAGTCAATCATGAGGTACCTTTTGATAGATGAAGGTTGGTATGGTCGTTAAGCCCGCCCCCACAAAACCATGATTACATCATGATTGAGTCATTTTTTAAGTCTAGTTACATATTTTTTCTCTAAGATATAACAAGCAGAAAAATAAATAATAGAATAAATGTATATTAAACTTATACTAATGTCAATGTAAATAACAATTTCAGTAGAAATAAGTAATACTAAAATCATCAAAAATGAAACACACAGTTTTTAAAATTAGAATTGAAACAACTACTTTTTTAACGATTTGAATAAATACTTATAAATACTTTAGAAACTATATTTCTTTAGACTAAATATGGAAACTTAAAAGGAAAGTGCGAATAATTAGAATGTCTCCATATCTAATTGAATTTGGTGAAAGAAACTGTCAACTTAAATTATCTCTGAATAATTCTCGCCAAGTAAGTATTCCCATTGGTTAATAAGCTTTAAATAGCGGTAAAATATTGTAAAAGAATTATCTTCCTTGATAAATGGCGAGAAAAGACGTTAGAGACAAAAATAAAGGACGAAAATTCTAAAGCTTTTCGACGTTTAAATAACTCGAACATAAAAAAGTAATAAACCATTGCACTTTTTTTTATGTCTTTTCGCGCCAAGGGAATCTCCTCTTTACCCATTACGTTGATGATGACTTTTCAGCTTTAATACTTTTATTACTTTTTCCAAAAGTACTTTTCCATAATAATTAAGTCACTTGACACGTTCCACTGGTCCTGTATGTTTTGACGCTTAATAGTCATTTTAGAGTATATTTTGAGTATATTACCAATTTAGATTTTGTACTAGTCATCTAGAAGCTTTTTAGATACTTTCTTTTTAATTTCGAGAAAATAGATTAATGCCGAAAGATATTAAACTCACTTTTTAAACATTTGAGATAGTAAAATTTGTGTAAAAATGTACTTACTACATAAAGTATTTTTGATTTTAAGAGGAATTTCAGAATTTATGTTTTGAAACTTAAAAAGGATTAGGAATTACGCATCCTAATTTTTCTTCCGTTTCAGTTTCCTTAACTTCTGGCAGTATCAATATTTTTTTTCAGATTAGAGTATTTATCACTTACTTATTAAAATACTTAAGACTAACTAGACTAAAAAATCTAACACTAAATTAAAAAATAAAATCAGCTAAAATTACGCGTAATAAAAATAAGCAATCAACTAAAAAAACAGTTATAAGTAAATACATTTTTCTTTAATCGAAGAATATTATACAGCCTCCACCATAACATACAATTATGATAATTGATCAAAATTAAATTAATACTTTATTTTAATAGCAGAAATATATTTTTAAGCATAAAAACCTACATCAAATATTGTAGGAAGATTAAATTTCGTTCTAATTTTGGTCTCTGAATATAAAAACACAAGAATTTTAAAACTGAAACTAACAAATACCAGAAACAACAGTATCTGCCTTTTTTAAAATTAGAATGAATAAAGATGATTTTATGACCACTTTGTGCTTGACCGAATTGAATTAGAATTGATTGTAAAATGCTACTTTTAATGCGAAAAAGTTATCAAGTATATTACTTTCTTAAAGTGGGTACTAGAGGAAATAAAGTAAATTAAACGAGATCCTCACACACTGAAAAAAAGTCCAGATCAAATTATTGCAAAAAAATACCGACAGGGTGCCGTCACTTTTTGATGTTAAATCCATTTTTACCGGAATATATTATGGAATTAAATATCTGATTCACCCTAATTTTTACAGTAATCATTTCCATAACTCATCGAATCCCTCTAATTACATTAATATTACTCAAAAAATGACGGTATTCTATTTTACTGCACAAATGGATTTTACGGATGATGACCCCGATATTAAGGATGATGAACAATAATATTATTTTATATTGTAATTTGATCCGGAATATTTCACAGTGTACTAAAATAGCTTTTCGCAGTTATCTGTTTCAGAACTATGGAATGCAACCTTATCATGGACCTTTTAATGGAATTCTTATTAACGATGTGGTGGTCGGGCTTTATATTCATATAGCCTCAATATAGCTTTACAATGTATGAATATATATTCTAAAACAATATTGAGGACCTGTTTGTTCGGTCTAAACAGTTTTCGTACGTTTCCTATTTTCTTTCATTTAATATTCATTTTTGGTTGCTTATGAATAAAACAAGATTTTGATGCTTTCTGAATCGTTCTAGAACCACACGGATCTGTGCCTCCAAGGATTGTTCACTGGAAAAGAGATGTCCAAGGCCAAAATGGAGATACTATTTGGCTTCCTTGTGTTGCTCATGGCTACCCAGTACCTTCTGTAAGATGGTACAGACAAGACTCTGGTTTGATGACGTCATTTTCGAATAGCCGAAGAATAGTCGAACAAGAAGGAATGTTAGTTATTCATAGGTCCACGCTTCAAGACAGTGGAAAATATGTGTGCGTTGTCAACAACAGCAAAGGTCAAGAACAAGTACACACTGTTCTAACTGTTAGAGGTAAGCTACTTGTGCTTTTCAACAGTTCATAAACAACTAACGATTTAGTTTAGCATTATGCATGACTGAATAAAAAACCCTTCGCAATTTCTCTGGTTTACTGTATTTAATTTTATAACCGTATGTTAACAGCCGACCCACTTTTGAGTGTCCGACTACCAATGTTCAATTCTCTAGCCTTGTAATTTTGAAACCAATTTAAACAGGAGAACTCTTGGATCAAATATTGGGATTATATTATGAGGGGAAAATTACAACTCCAAAAACACAAATGAGTTAAAATACATAAAACAATTCGTTTTTTATTATGCATTGAAGGTTAAAAGCATTTCATCTTAAAACGTATTATATCCTTTTTTTACTTTATAGAGTGCTGTGCCAGAAAGAAACCGTCATGTTTCGTTAAAAAAAAAAAAAACGAAAGTCTTCATCAAAGACAGAAATGCTATCTATATGGATAAAAAAACACAAGATTTATAAATATTATTTTGCCTCAGGAAAATTTCAATATCATAAATAAAGGATTTTGTTGTACCTAAACACAGTTGAACTGCCTTAATTTCAATCTACTTTTCTTTATTTTCATTCACGTCTGGCAAGTCTTGAGAATGGTCACATGTTTTGCATGCTTAAGCAAGTTGACTTTTATTTCCATCTGGAAATTTTCAATTTTTTTTCTTAATCAAATAATCCTCTAGATATATTTAAAATTTGTGAATAAATTTTTGTGTGCATAGTTAAGAAAGATTCGTTTTTAAATGCAAGTTTTAATTATTGTAATCAGAACTTTGAAAAGCATTTCAATACTGTTCCCCTAGATTGCAAAAGAATTTGAGTATGTATTAATTTAAATAGAATCAGAAAGTAAATCAAAATATGTGTCTTTGTTTAATTTCTCTATTTTTTGAAAACTGACTTTTTTGTAGCAAAAGAAACCATGCATATTGAAATAATTTTACTAGTAAGCCTTCTTAAACATTAAATGACATTTTATTAACAGATAATTTTTATGCTCGTGTGCCGCCTTCAAGATAAATCTGATTTATTTTAAAAAAATAACAAGCATATGACTAAAATCATTTCCTCTTTTACATATGAATTTTATCAATGTGGCTGTAGTTTTAAGTACATTTAATTAAAGGAAAAATCGTTTTTTTTTGTAAGGCGTGTTTTTCTTAGTAATACCACATACATAAAGATTGGTGGAAAAAAGTATTCCTGCCACTTCGACTACTTTAATAACATTCATATTAAATTTTAAGAGATATATTATATCAACAATACATTTATTTAAAAACAAGATTTTTTAAGTAACGAAAATGGCTCGTATTTTTTATTCTAAAGTATAAAATATAAAATCTATAAATTTTATATCTCGTACAAAATTTTGTATCAATTTACAATAAAAGGTATCAATTCTCTGCTGGTATTTTTTACCGTATAACTCATTTTATCGGAGCATGTTATGAAACAAAAAAAATCTGATATACCGTAGTTTGTACAAAAATAATTATTGTAATATCTCTGAATCACTCTAATTAAATAGATTTTACTTTAAACATTACGGTATAATATTTTACAGAAAAAATAGATTTAATGGTAAAATGAATTTTACGGATGATGCACACAAAATCCCGGTACTTTATATCATAATTTGATCTGGAATTTCTTACAGGGTATTAGCAAAACGTTAAAGATTTTCGAAAATCGGAGATTAATATAATGTATCACTGCATGTATTTGATTTTAAATGAAAATAATGTTGCCAAATTATATGTGGTATTTAAAAATAATAAACTGCGTATTTTATTCTATTGCAGACACACTAAGAGCCGTAGTTAGTCCTCAACATACAATCGTAACAGTTGGCACATCGTTGTCACTGCGATGCGAAGTAACGGGATCACCCATTTTATATTTAAAATGGAAGAAAAATCTAAAACCACTGGTTTTAGACAACAGAATCCGTCAACAAAGCAATAATGTTTTAGAAATTGCCAATGTGAGATTAGGAGATGAAGGTATCTATCAATGTTTCATATATAACAGTGACGAATCAGCACAAGGAAGTTCAACGGTTTTAATACAAGGTAAGTTTTTAATTTTCTTACTGATTGATATTGATATTGCAAACTGAGTCTTACCATCTAACAATATTTAAGTCTCTATTACAAGGCATACTTCGGCAATATTATGAAATTTTCTATTTATATGCTAATTTTCTTCATTAATATATGTATGGCCTCAACTTTTCGGTGCTATCAAGTGAATATTAAACAAAACTGAATTTGTTAATTGCATAAGTATTTTGAAAGACAGTTATATTTTTGGAAAAAAGTAAGTTCTATAAAGTAGTTGTGTGCATTGAAAATTGTAACCAAATAACTTTATTTATTGAAGTATTATTTGTTTAATAACAACTGGGAAAATATAGTAAACGGTTTGGATAATCACTCAATATACATTTTCATAAACATGTAAATGTTTAAAGAAATTATAGGCGTTTTTCCGAATCCATTCTAACAATTTGATTTCTGTATTTTGTTGAGTAATACTTACCTTTTTTCTCAGTTTTTTTGAACCAAACAGATGTTTTTTTAATTCCAAATTATTATTCGACATTAAATAACACGCCTATAACATAAATACGAAACATTTTGAATAAAATTATCTGTTTCAAAAATAAAATTTAGAACATTTGCGATTTTAACCTTATTTGTTATTGAAGGAATTAAATTAATTTTTTAAGCGCTTTTTTGTAAATACAAGTATTTTGTTCAAATCATATTTTTAATATGTTTCCTTAGTTTTTTTTTAAAAGTGCAAACAGAAAGAATTAAGGAAATAAAGTAATGAAATAAAACTTAATTAATTAAATAATAAATTTTTTCAAGATCTAAGATTGTTTTGTTTTTGTTTGTTATTCTAGTTACCTTAAAAAAATATTTCTACGTTAAAAACTGTATTTTTTAATATCTTAATAATCACACTGTATGAAAAAATGGAGTACATTTTAATTTTGCTGATTGAAATCCTTCATACTATTCTTTTTACTGATATTATATGTTTTCTTTACATATGTATAATCAGTGAAGGGACTGAAAATAAATTTAAAACTTCTCTAAATTGTAAAATGTCCTGTAAAAACTCTATAAGGTAATGGCATCATGTTAAGTAAAACGTAGCGTATACAAGGATTGATTAAATGTAGGAAGCAAATTATCAGCAAAATAAGATCTTTGTAAAAGACTCATAAGAATCGTAACAACATTAAATTTCGGATACACTTAGAAATATTTTGAAAATATAAAATAATGTGCAATTGTCATTAATAGTCACGAAAATGAAATGTATTTTAACTGAAACTTGTACCATGCTTCATAAAAATTATTTTAATATCATGTCTAATAGTTTTTCTTTTTTTTTGGCAAAACTTCTGAATTTTGGTAAAATAAGGCTCAAATGCTATATCAAAACTGATGATATAATTTCAAAGGCAACTTTTAATTTTTGAGGATAATATTCCAAAAGGACGATATAATTTCGCACATCTCTGCTTCTATAATTTTTAATTTAGAAATTGCATTTTAAGCATGGAATAAAATTAAAATACTATTTCAAACAATATTTTATCTCCCTTCAAGTTTCTATCAGGTCAATAATTTTTAATTTTCTCGAGAACAGTAGAATAAGAATTTAATGAACAAAACTCTTTGTTAAAATTCTTATTTAATAAAAAGAAAGTGAAGTACCAGTTATTCTAACAAAACCTTTCTTTTTGCGGATTACAGAAGGTATGTATTGTTGAAATTGCTCGTTAACAGAAAAGGAATTCCGTCTATCACAAAGTATCTTTTCAAAACAAAAACAAAACCTCCTACCAGAAAATAAATAAATAAATAAATAAAATGAAATACAAAAGTATTATTAACTAAGCTCCTCTAATAGTTTCTTTTTCAACAATTGTCTTTTATTTATATAAATATAAAAGTTTATTTAGTGTTTGAGACGATTATTTAAACGTCTTTGCCAAATGCATATGAAAAAAGTTACAATTTTAAGGAATTATTTTTAATTAGCTAGTTCAGAATGAGCTTATTAGCGATTGTTAAATTATAAAATATGAAATCTCGAATAGAAACTATTATTCAAATTCTATTTTTATCTGTTCTTGGAAAATTATTTTGTTTTTGATTCCAATTTTTGAGCTGTGTATTGTACATTTCAAAAACTTAACGTAGCATCGTAACTTATTTAATTGTTGAGAAAATCTTTTATAAGTATTTAAAGAAGTTCAATTTTTTTTTAAAATTCAACAATGTTGTTATATAATTAGTTAAATTCAATAAATAAGAACATTTTTTAAAAAATCACAAAACAGAAAGCATATTGCATAGTGTATGAACCAAAATATATTCTGAAGATTCCTGTATACATTATAAACTATGTCAATGATCACAAAATACACACCAAATAAAGGCGTAACTCTTAATATACAAACTAATATTCATAGTAATGATGTCTGCGTGTGTTTTTAAACAGAGTGTTATAAAAATATGTAAACTATAAACAGTAAATTAGTTGCTTTTAAGTGTGCAGATATAATTTATTCATTTTGGTCTCTCTTGGTATCGATAATATTATTTCAAGTTAATATTATAAGAAAGTTAACAATTGAAAAATTAATAAGCGATAATTTTTTTTTAAATAAAGATATTATATTGTTCAAAGTTCCCTTTTAGTAAATAAGCATTGTGTCCTAGTTAGTATATAAAACAACAAATTTTATTTAATATTTAAAAAATTTAAATACTGAAAAAATTACAAATTAAAAATTATTATGTTATATAAATATAAGAGTAAAACATTTTAAATTTTAGTTACTATAACTGAATAAACTTTCCAGATTCGTCCCTATTTCGTGACACAATATTAAGTTTTGTTACCTTAATATTTTTCATTAAATATTAATTTAATATTAAAATAACTACAGATTTATTAACACGACAATTGATAAAACATTGTTTTAAAAAATAAAGATTATTCTCTGATGGGTTTCTAAGTAAGTAGACCTACATTAAATTTACTCAGAAATTTCTCGGAAAAAAGGGTTTAATGGCAATTTATTTTATAGTTATTTGACCATTTTTGAATAAAGCACTCAAATTACCATAAAAAGATGGTATTTAAACTGTTAGCTGTAAGAAAAACTGTCTAGTAACTGTTCTCAACTAATGTGGTTAAACAATCAGAATTTTATCCATACCAGCAAGGCTCACTTAATGAAGCGACTTTGCCACTGCAGCTGGATTCATAATGTAACAGAAAGGGCAAATCTTGCGATCACATAGCCAACAGAATGAGAGTTCGAAACCCGACGTTGACATCACAATTTTTTTCCACTCCATTCAACTCATAGAGAGTTTCAAGTGTTCTGCACTCCAAAAATAGTGAGTCTGGACTACTAGAATACGATACTCTCATATACGCAAAGGTGACAACACAATAAAGCTGCTTAACGCAAAAAAAGTCTTGCATTTCCCTCTTTTATGAAAGATGATCCATTTGATAAACTAATCAAACCACCTTCCGCAATTTTTTAGCAAAGTATAACTCAACCACAACCTTATTTACCTAACGAAAAGTCTAGCTCCGAAATTCCAATTAGATTTCTTTTTCAACGGTTTGGAAGCCATGCTAGTTATTATAGTTGAAAAACCGTATAACTTTGTATTAATGATTTTTTAACCATACTAGATGTAAACGGTTTTAAAACCGTGAAGTAAAAATATTTTTTTACTGTAAACCTTACGGTTAATTGGACGAACAGACTGCTGTCGGTTATTTTACCTTAATTTTAAAAAGAAAATTTTAACAGTGTAGAATACATAAACTTTTCATTCACTGTTTTTTAAATTGAACTTTAAAAATTTAAGTAATTCTTCGGTGTTTATTAATAAAACCCATTGTGAATATTTTTAAACAGTTTTAAGATAAAAACGACTAAAGAACTAGAGCTATTTTTCCAAAAACGAAATTAAAGCTTTCAATTTAACGAGAAAAAAACAAGTAACCGGTAGAAAAATAAGACGGCCACATTTATAAAATAAATCTTCTTCTAGTGACATTGAACATTACATTAGTTTTGGTAAGCTTTGTTATGGTTAGCTTAGATTTGTTGTCTTACTAAATTCGATTCGGATAAATACCGTTCAAAGAAAACGTAAATTTCACTCTAACTGCTTTACCGTATAAGCTATAAAGTTGCTGCTAGTGAACGTTAAAGAAAGGAATTACTGTTATAAAAGAATTCTTAGTTTTGTTTCTCAAAGATCGGAGTAAAAAGTAAGCTTCTTTGAAATAAGAAAATACCTTTTTTTTAAGATTTATTTTCAAATTAAATTAAATCTAGATCTTTGTTTCTGATAAGTTACAAGGGACTGTAAAGCTCTATTTGGAAATAACAAAATCGGAAATGTTTAATTTCAAATAATTTAAAAATCAGTAGTCGAGATTTTTTTTTATTAATATCTTTTCAAAATATATTAACGTATTTTTAATTTTTTAGTCATGAATCTGAAATTAAGTTCGATCTTTAAGCGGAGAAAAATATTCTGTTAAAATTACCTTACTGTATAGTAATGATATTTCTGAGGAAAAAAAAATCTGGCTCTTAAAGCAATATACGGTATTAAATCATTCATTTGCTCAATTTTTCATTCATTTAGCAATTGTTTACCGGGAATTCCGGTTTTCAAAACTATATTTTTTATTAGCACACATTTAGTAAAAAACACAAAGCTGAAAAGTGATTTTTACCATATATGTCATGCTTTTTTATGCCATGCTCTAACGAATATTGCAAAATTACCATATTTACCAAATTTTATCACGAAAGTCATTATCAAGGCCCTTTGATAAAAATTAAAAATATCTTTGGTGTTCCAAGTCAGAAATATAGTAAAATTTAATTCATTTTTGCATCTTTGACCATTTTTTTCCCTTAGATTAAAAATTATTCACTTTCTTACAATTTACCTTAGTGTGTCACATTTAATGCATTTCATTAGTTTATAAAATTGCCATTGTA